TTGTGAACCTGAATCTACCTGTGACTTTTCTTTCCTCCTCCAGTCCACCCCCTTTGAAAGGAAAAGGTGGGAGTTTGGGAGGGGGGGCTAGATCCACCCCACTCCCACCCCTACCCATTGCCTTCCCCCGTCTCTCTGAACCCCCCAGGAGACTAACCGCGTACCCTCCTTAATTCTGGATTAACCAGGTTGGGCAGAAACAAACCCAGAGTGAAATCTGGATTAATTCAGCACTGGTGGATTGGGGGGGGGACAGCACCAACGGCGAAGCCCCGATCGATCGTGGATTCGGGATTAATTCAGGAGAGTCCTAGGAGATGGCTGTTCAACCTGGATTAATTAAACCAAGATCTAGAAGGCAGAACCAGGAGGCAGTCTTTAATCCCGGATTAATATAATAGTCTCAGGAGGCCAAGCAGGTAGGCGGTACAATAATTAATGAGCCATTTGATACCAGTCTAGTAGGTAGTTCTGGATAAATTTGACAGCAGTGCGGGATACGCCATATAATTTGGGATTCATCTAGCATCATCTAGTGATCTTTAATTCTAGATTAGGGTTAACACGGAAATCAGAGGCAGTAATTAACAAACCATGTTTAATCCTGGATTATTTTCATGCTCACCCAGAAGTTTATAATTAACTCTGGAGCGATTTAACATTGGAGCCAGGAAGCAGAATGAGGAGAGACAATAATTCATTTTAGATGAATTTAAAATGGAGCCAAGAACAACTAATAAATTCAGAATTAGTTCAGCTTTATTCCAGGAAGTGGTAGTTAATTCTGAATTAATTTTAGTGTGAATCCAGCACGCAGCACCCGAAAGAAGTCATTGAATCTACCTTAACTCCACACAGAACCAGGTACATTCCAGATTAATTGAGCATGGACCCAGGAAGCAGAAAAGGGAGACAAGTAATTCATTTTAGATTAATTCAACATCAGCCCCAGGAGACGGTGGTTCGTTCTGGATTAATTGAATCGGAAACCAGGAAACAGAATGGGGAGGCAGAGATTCATTCTGTAGAATATGGATTTAGGAAGCAGCCAGGTAGCAGCAATTAATTCTGGATGGATTAATCATAAACTTGGGAGACGGGAGTTAATTCGAGTTTAATCTGACACGGATTCCCCAAGCAAAGCTAGGAAGAAATGGTTAATTCAGAATTAAGTGGGCTGCCCCCCCCGCCTCCAAGGGAGCCATTCTGTGCCAGGCGGTCCTGGTTGACCCACCCCAGGCTCCATGGCACCCACCCACCTCCCCACCAAGTGCACTTAAACCCCCTCCCGGACCCCCCCTCCCGATTCCCAGCCCCAGAGAGGCCCCGCTCCCCCCTCTCCCAAGTGCCGGTTTCCCCGCCCCCCGAACCTGGCCTTCAGCTTCCAGAATCCCAAAGGGCGAGGGGGGGGGGAAACGCCTCTTTCCATCCCATACCGAACAAGTAAGAAGGCCGAAGCCTTGGGGGCCCGGAGGTCTCCTCTCCAAAGGGGCACCTCCTCCGCTGATCCCTTCCCCAAATTCGGGCGTTCTCCACGCAGCCTGCCTCTGAAGCCTCCTGACTTGTTTTGCCTGGGAAATGGGGGAGGGGAGACAGGGACAGAAAGTCCGGGCTGAGGGGCTGAGTTCGAGTCCCCCTCCTTCTGCCCTGGCCCCAGAAGCCCGCCCTTCGGCCCTGCGCCTCCTGGCCGCCTCGCAGCCCTGAAATCAGAACAACCCATCATCGTTCAATGGTGCTAACCTCCACACAAACACACCCTCCCCGTGTCTGACAACCGCACGCGCGCGCACACACGCCCACCCCCAGGCTCCACAGCAAACGGGGAGGCTGGAGCGATTGGAGGGGGGTGGTGAAAACAAGGCCCCTTCCTCTCCTGGTCTCCAAATCCCGGCAACATGAAGGCAGGTCTCCGCTGCCCCGTTGGAGCAGTTTGGTGACGCTGGTCCCGGATCCGTCTTCAGAGATTTGTACCTTTTGGGGGGGAAGGGGACTCGGGAACCCCCTCCTGCGGTTTTTGGGGATCCTCGGGATCTCAAGAGACTACAACTCCCAGGATGCTGTGGGGAGGGGGGCGAAGCCAGGCCACCTGCAGCCGTTAGGGTACCCAGGTAGCTGCACACAAGCGTGTCTTGCACAACCGGGGCAGATCGGGCACAGCTTGGAAGGAGGGGGGGCATTTCTTCCACAGTGAACTTGCACGGGTGGGGGGGAAGGAAAGGGGGACCACAGCCATCCGGCTCAGGTGTGTTACCTGCACAAAGACACCTATGAAAATCTCATGAACCTTTCCTGCTTCCTGTTTCCTTTCTGTGTTTGTGTGTCCAGGTGCGCAAAGATGTTCTTATATTCTACATTCTATTTTATTTTTCTTCTTAGCAAAGAAAAATGCTGCCCCCCCAAAAAAAACCCCCACCTTTTCTCAACTGCAGGGCTAAAAACCTTTGTTCCCTTTACTCAGGGATGATAGGTTTGTTCTCAAACTTCTGGATAGCTCCACGTTTTAGACTTCTGGCCAGGGAACCAGAGGTTGGGAGTTCGAATTCCCTGGGGGGTCTTCCTTGATAGGGGCCCGACTCAATGATCCAGAGGGTCCCTTCCAGCTCAGCAGTTCTAAGATGATGATTTTCAGCACCACATCCCTCTCCACCTCTCCTTTCCCTGTCATCTAACCTGGTGGTTTAACAAAACCATGCCTTTTGTTATTTGAAATTAAAAGCACACAAAAATTCAGTGCCAGTTATTTTTGATGAAAAGTAGTTACTGCAAATAGGTTTTCTTGCGAGATCCTAAATCCTAAGCATGACATTTCAAACGTAAAAAATAAGCACCCGTACTTTTGCTTGAGAAATCCTGAATAATACGTATCGCCAAAAGAAGTGCTTTCCACCAACAGAAATATTTTTTTCCTTTCTGAATCTAGAGAGCTCTCTCGCACGCTAGCCCAGATCTCCACCACCTTGTCTGAACAGCCAGGAAGCCAAGACTGAACAATATTCGGGCCCAAATTGTGTGTTTAAATTCAGTTCACCATCCCTTGAACACAGGGAGGGAACCCGGGTTCTGGTTGAAACCATATTCCTGTCCCAAACAATGAGGACTAGAACCTTAACTTGGCTGCAAGTTGGTGCTTAGGGCCTTGCTTTTCCATTTCAGATCTCCCATTTACGCCTCTTTATTTTCTGCTCCTCAGTGGATATACGGCTTTTCTGGACACCCCGCTTCTGAAGCCTCATTAGACTCTATTACCCAGCAATACCCTTGATAGCATTCATTTCTGCCCATTGGCAGAACCAAAGGAGATCAGGAAAATCTAACCCACCTTTTCCGTATTTTATTTTTCTTTAATGCAAGTATGTTTTGATCAGCGATGGCCCAACGTCACCCCCGCCTCCCTGGGGTGCAAACCTTGCATGGGGGGGGAGTGCGTGTACCCACTCTGACCCACAGCCCCCCTTCCCCCCTGCAAGCTTGGGGTGGCCTGTTCCAAGTCGAGATGAAGGCGAGAGGTACCTACCATCCCTGAACCATCCCATCATACTTCCCCCCCCCACACACAAACACACATGCACACTCCCCTTTCCATCTCCTGGCAACGCCTCCCCTGCCTGCAGGGCGCGGCTCCTCCCGCCACCAACCCACCCAGAGCTTGGAAAAAGCCAGATTGGGGGATAATGGGACTTGTAGTATCCCCATCAAGAACACCTCCCCTAAGCTTGCCTTCTTCCTCTGCCCCCCCAAAAAGCTCATCCCCTGTGCCCCAAAACTGAACCCCAAAATGTGGGATGGATGCACCCCATTTCAGTTTCCCCTATTTCTTGGGGAGGGAGGGAGGAGATAGAGGGGGGGCATCATGTTGCCTGGCTGGGATTCCCCTACATCTGAGTGGGCGGACTGTCCTCCCTAGTGGCCAGAGCATGAAACCCCTTTCTCTCCCCCCCGACCCCCACTTCTCTAGGGCTCAAATGATGACATCTCTCATATTCCCCCCCCCCATCGTAAGGTCCTGTTTTAGAGTCCCAGGGACGCAGCCGTGCAGGGAAGGTGGCCGGGGGGGGGGAGGTTGGTTCGTGTGTGTTGCTTTCCTGGAAACGTCCACCAGGAGCCGCCAGAGGGGGAAGCAGCCGGGAAGGGGGGGGTCCTCAAAGGACGAAGGGTCGACAGAAATAAAATAAAACACAATAAAATAAAATGAAGGCTGGCTGAGGCAAAATCCGGGTCTCCTGAGGACAAAACTCAGTCCCAGGCGCTGTGGAAAGAACGGGGGTCAATCCGTCCCGTTCGTAAACTGGCCGAGTTTGTTTTCTAGGTCAGAGATGCGCTTCTCGTGAGCCTGAACCGTCTGCCGTAGGGACTTGATTTCCGCCAGGAGTTCCTCAAGCGCAGAGTGCTTGGAAATAAAAGAAGAGAGACTGTATGAAATCTAGGGGTATCCTGGAAAATGTATTTTTTTTAAAAAAAAAATCACTTGAAGGGGCAAAATACCATGTCACAGTGGTGGAGCAGAAATTTGTTCTTGGACAAGGAAAAGGTCTCCGCTCTGCATTTCTTAAAATAATAACCAGCATGGATGGGAATTCTGGATTTCTTGGACAATAAACCCCATAATTCTCGGTTCTAGGAGTTCTGCCTTGCTTGCAAACCCCTAAATGTGGCTCGCCTGGGAGACACGGCCTCAACAGGAAGGCTTTGAGGCCTAGCTAGGCCTAGTTCTGACTGGATTCCTGTTCAGAAAGGAAGGCTTCCAGCTCAGCCCTGGGGCAGGAACGGGAAGCTTGAAGGGAGCGAGGCCTAGCTAGGTCTGAAAGCCTTCCAGTCGAGGCCTTTCTCTCAGGTGATGTTAAGGTGAGCGTCTGTCAGGCAGAGCTCCCAGAAGGAAGAGTTAGGGATTTCTAATTCAATAAATCCAAAAATCCCATCCCTAATAACAAAGGGCTGGACGTTACAAATCTCCCCTAATTAGAGGTGAACATAGGGTGGTATTGGAGAGACGTGACTTAGGCTGCCTTCCCTGTTCAAGAAACTGGACTTCAGAGCAATTCCATGTTTGAAGTCCCGAAGCCCAAAACAAAGCAAGCTCATTTCTTATTACACGAGGCGAGGAGAGCATCTACTGTGCACTCAGATGTTTCTCCACAGTTAATACATTTTCCTTTCTAATCAGCGACTGTCTAGAATGTTTGTTTTGGCCCTGTGTTTCTAGTTGTGTAACTCCCCACGCACCCTCCCCGAGATTCACACCTACACGCCATTTTCACACACCCTGGATCGGATGAGGAGACACAAACTCACCGAAAAGTTAGACTCGCAAGTGGATTGGCTCCGCCGTGGCCCGACTGGAGGCCTGCTGTCGAGGATGTTCTTTCTGGTAACCTTGAGCTCCCGGTTCTTGAGGGGGACGTAGCCATCCCGGAGGGAGATTAAGATGGGCTCGGCATCCTTTCCAGACAGCCATTCGTCCGCTTCGAGGGCTGGCTCTGGGCCCGGCGTGTCCGGATACAAGTCGTCCTGGAAAAGGTCCGACTGCCGAGGCCGGGAGGATAAGGAGGAAAGGGCAAGAGGTCAGCCGGGGCAAGGAATGACCCCCCCAACCTCAACTGAAAGTGATCGTCTTGAAATCCGCTGCGTGATTTCATTTTCTCAGCTATGTTTGTGGCTACAATAATAGTTTTTGAGGAAAGAGGATGAGAATTAGCATCCTTTAGGGGGCTGTCGGGGGATTCTGGGAATGGAGAAGCAGCTGGCACCATTTTTTTAAATGGCAGCCTTCTTTTTGCCAGTCCTTGGCTGCCTTGCATGGGAGTGATGGGAATTGAAGTGATGCTGGCGGAAGGTAACGAATGTCGCTTCCAAGGGTTAATTGCTACTAATTAATGATCTTCCCCTTAGATTCTTTCTTTTTTGCCAAGTGACTTGAGTCGCAAATGATCAGGAAGCCATGCAAGGATTAATTGGCAGCAATTAGCCCCTGAGAGTTTTCCTTCGTACAAAGGGTCAAGCAAAGATAAGCTATGAAAGGAAAAATGGAAGTCATCGAAAGGGGCTTTTAATAAATGGAGCTTAAGAACCAGCAATGACGATAACGGTTTACAGGAGACCGCAGACTGCACTGGAGTTCGTTGCACGACGCACAAGCGGCGTGGGAGCTGTTTTTCAGCAGCGTCCCGAAGGACCAGCAGATGGCGCTCCTGTCATGGCTGGACTCTGATGCCAATGTTCCATGTGGAAACGCAATCGTGTGGGGCAAGAAAAAGGGTATGGCGCGGGAGAAGGAGTGGGAGCACCAAAGAGAGACAGATCTTGTGGGGTGGGGTGGGGGTCGGAGTGGTGAATCTCTCCCACGGACCCCCAATTTCTTTCCTTTTGTCCCCAAGGACCCACCTTTCGTGGAACAGTCATGACGATGGGTTCACATTTCCGCTCGTGCAGCTTGTAAAACCTGTTGGGGTCGGATCAAAGAAAAGGAGGCAGATTAGGGTCACAATCACCGACAGACACTTTGGGTTTCGGTGACAACCCCCCGCAGCTGATACCTCCCTCTCCACTGGCTTAAATTACAATCTTATTATGACTACAATAGGACCCCCATTTCCATGGGGGATTGGTTCAAAGCCCCCTGCCGTGGATACTGAAAAATGTGTATTATAGCAAACACTATACATAGCCTGGTCTCTGGCTCCCTCCAGTGGCCAGTTCTGCTGACTGCATCTTTGGAAATATATACAGTGGTGGTTCGCATGACGACGTTAATTCGTTCTGCGAAAATCGCTGTGAAACGAAAACGTCGTCATGCGATTTTAAAAAGCCCATAGAAACGCATTAAAACCCGATTAATGCGTTCCTAGGGGCTTCAAACTCACCGTCCAGCGAAGATCCTCCATAGCGCGGCCATTTTCACTGCCCATGCAGCGAGGAATCCGTGCCAGAAAACAGCAGGTGGCCATTTTTTTAACCTGGCGGCCATTTTGAAACTGCCAATCATTCGCAAAGCGGAATTCCCCCAGAGGGAACATCGTTTTGTGATCGCAAAAACATCAACATAAAGCGATTTCGTCGTCAAATGGAGCGCTCGTAATGCGAGGCACCACTGTACAGCATTTTTAGGATTTTTCTTTTAATATTTTCAGACCATGGATAGGAGGAATCAGCAGTTGTTGATCCCGTGGATAGGGGGGTCCGGCTATATTTCCTCATTACAATTCCCATGCCCCTCGGCGATGCCGGAAGAGGCGGGTTGATGCTGTCGTCCGAAATTCTCAGCATGTTTCGGGTCATCGAAACGTGCTCTAGAGGTCTCCCCGCCCTGGGATTCGAACTAGGAGCTGCGGGGGGGGCGAGAGCCTGCCCTTCCAGTTTGTGCCTGACCTGGCAATCTCGCATTTGGAAACGTCCAGTCCTCTCTTGGGCATGAACCCCATTCCGCGCTGGGGTTCCTTGCTGCTGAAGGTGCTCAAGTAATGGACGTAGGGAGCTTCCTCCGTGATCTCGAAGTATCGGATGCTACTGTCCCCCTGCATGGGAAACAGGCGAGGAGGGTATAATAAGGCACGGCATTCGAACACAGGCCTCTTCCTAGCCCAGCACCTGCTGCATGTGGCCTCCTGCCCTTCCCACCGCCCTCCACCCTGGCGTTTACCTTTCCGCACAGGTAGACGATGCTGGAGTCAGGGTCGTAGAAGGGGAGGAGGACCCCGTTGCTGGTGTCCATCTCCTGGAGGGCGATGGGCTCCTCAAAGTTCTTCTGCAAGGAAGGAAGGAAGGCTTTCAGGAGGGCGATGGCAGAGCCAGGATCAGCACCACCACCACCACACACGCCTTTGCCTGGTGGGACCGCAACGTGTGTGTTTGCATCCACCGACCCTGACCCGGGGTGTGTGTGAGAAACTCTCTCCCCCCCTTCTGTGT